GCACTATGCATCTGAAGAAGTGAGGTTTTTACCCACAAAAGCTTATGCCCAAATAAATCTGTTAGTCTTTAAGGTGCCACCAGACTCCTCGTTGTTTTTGTAGATACAGACTAACACAGCTACCCCCGATACTTGATATCAAATAACAAAGCATCTTACTTTATTAGAAAGAGATAATTAGAGAGTATCCTTCATGTTTTTCTATTCATAGAACTGTTTTATGGTTAATGTGCATGCCATAGCCATACTTAGGAAATTACACATATTCAGTGTCTATGGAATAGTAGTAGTAACAAAACCAATTAGCTCTCACAGCACACTTTCCATCATTAGATATCAAAGCACTTTACAAGAGGTGGCAGCTCTATGAACAGACTGTATAAAGATTAGATTAGATGTATGTAATGGCTAAAGAAATGAAAGCTTGATTTTGTATTTAACCTTACCATAGAATTAGAGACCATAACTAAAAGACAGGCTGCAGCATCATCAGTTAAAACAAATAGATTCGAAATAAGCCCCAGTGCAACCCATTTTATGAAGAAAATCTGATAATCACACAAACAAACAAGATGACAAGGCTTACAAATACTTAAATATGGTTCCTATTATTATAAAGAACAATTATACTTTAAATACATTATACCCATCTTACCTTCATCGTGTCAATTTTGCCTTTTACTTGTTCATTTTTAGCCAAAGCCCTTTCCAAACACTCTTTAGTGTAAAGCTGGGGATTACGGCCTTGATCTATGTATCTGGAAAGATGAAAGATGCCATGTAAGTGTATCATGTAGGCTAAGATATTCCTCATCTTCACTAAATACAGCAATGAGAAGCTCAATTACACTGAGTAAAAGTAATAAACAAGCATGCTTTGTATTCCGCCATCTGAAGCATGCATTCTAATATGTGGATTAGGCCAGCAGCTCCCAAACTGTTATCCAAGGAGCACCTGCCTGGTTTTCAATGGCCAGCTGCTCCTAAGTGTCCAGACTTTTCCTTGTGGAGAGTCTAGAGGGTTGTAGAATGTGCTGGGAATCAGTACCATGTGACTAGCTAACTCTCTCCAGACCACCAGTAAGTACATGAAAGCTGGAGAAGAAACAGGAGTCACCATCAGCAAATGGACCAGCAGTGAGTAAAGCAAAGTGATGTGACAATCGTAGCAAAGTGGTATACAGGGAGAAAGGAATAAAGCAGCTAGAAGATCAAGAGGAACTGAGTAGACAGAACTGGGGAGAGGTATGTTGACTTCTTTTAAAAAAGGTAACACTTACTTTATTAGTGCTAAAAAGGCATAAGTATTTCCCTAATTTTACTATGCCATAGAAACAATTACTTTAGCCACAAGGATGTTGTGTGATTGAAATAAATTGAAAGATATGGTCTCAAACTATTAAAATGTGGACTGAACTAGAAGAAAGTTTTGAGACCACCTGGTTTAGCCAGCTACAATTAGCAATATTATACACATCTCTCAGCTTGTCACATTTGAGGCAATTTAGAATTCATTAAATTGGATGACTAATGTGCTAACTCAGTGAACAATATAAGTTGACTCACATAGCTCTGCCATTCACCTGTTATACTCTTACTGATCTAGTTTGGGCCAATTAACAGCTGACTGCCAATTATGTAAATATATGCAGTGATTATGGTGTACAAAAACAGGGGCTCTGATAAAAAAAACTAAATGTCACTTGTAATCGAAAGCAAGATTTGAATCCTGAATAAAGAACCAGAGTGAGATGGAAAGCTATGTACAGTACCAAGACACTAAATTAGATAAGAGCTTTCCAAGCCTTGAGTTATGCAATTTTATGCAAACATAAGTGACAAAATAAACAGTTGTGAAAATAGATGGATAATTCATAATTTGTCTTATTCCAAAAGAATTTGAAGGAAAAAGTATTTTTAAAGTCAAATTTACAAAACAAAAACTGCAGTGGAAATGTCTAACACTACAAGATTAACTGTCTCTTCAATTTGACGGTGTGGAGGTTGCTCCCTAGATGTAAAATTACTTACTCAAAAACCTCTAAAGGTACGCTTATATCGTGAAGTTGCTGTCGGCACTTGTCAATATCTTGCAAGCCTGTAACCATAAAATTCCTGGGAAGAGAAAAATCATGTGGCTATAAAACCAGACCCAAATTAGTTACAGACATCCTTCTATATTTTCTCAGCTACAATGCATAACTGATCTCACTGTTATTGGGTTACTGCCTACAAGAGACTGCATGAATAAACAAGGCAATGGAAAGGTTCCCTGGAGGTTCTCACGGCACCTTCTCCATGTGTAGCCCTGGATTCCTAAGGCACTTCTAAATCTAGGTCTTCGGTACATAACACATCATACTGAGTATATGAGTCCCTTCCAAACAGGTAAATTATAATCATGAATCCCACCAGGGCAGTCACAAAACAGATTATTGTTGCAATCACATGTCCCAGATTTGAACATACTACAAACACGTTTGGAAATCAGTATATTTTTCTGTGGGACTGCACACTTGGCACCACTGCATCTTGTTGAATCACTGCTAATATACCATTCTTCAAAGTTTAGTTTACAGTTTATTTAGACATAAAGTATTGCTCTTCACACAACAATGCAACTGCATGTTAGAGACCTACTCTCTGTTGATCACCATGCCACGTGACAGGTGTTACTTGAAATTTGTACACTGGTCCATCACGGACAGACCAGTCCTCACTATTCCTAGGCGAGACAGCGCCTGCAGGCTAGGAGGCACCACGGCACTCCTCTCCCCACGCCACCCACAGACTGTTACAGGCCGGCTCTGCTCCGGGAAGTGCCCCCACACCCGCTTCCCACAAGGCCCCACAGCGCCTGCAAGGGGTTGGCGCTGCTCCGTTGGGCTCAGCCACCCTCCGACCCAGCCGCACAGCGTGGGGGGGCACTGAACCGGAGAGGGGCGGCGCGAGGCAGGGGCGGAGGGGGTCTCACAGTTTCTGGTTGAGGCCGGCCTGGCTGCTGGGCTGGAAGTCACTGACGATGATGCCGAGCTGCCGAATGTTCTCCACGAACTTCTCCAGCTGCTCCTCCAGCGAGTCGAACTTCTCCGCCATCGCCCAGCGCCGCCGCCACTTCCGGGTCAGCCGCCACTTCCGGTCGCGCGCCTGAGAGCGGCAGGGGCGGGACAAAGCCGGGATTCCCGCGCTGGCACTCCGCCCCCGACTCGGGACCCTCTGCCGGCAGCGGTGGCCCAGGCCCGGGGACTCGCCCAGTGGCACGAGGGGCTCGGCTCCCCCCAGGGACAGAAGGAGGCCGAGCCCAGCCTTAGGGGAAAGCGTCCCTGGGAAGGTGGGCAACTTCCCGGGCTCGCAGGCTCCTGCTAGGCCCTGGAACCGAAGACGAGCTCGGTGGGAGTTGCCAGGTGTGGGCCTAGCTACGGTCCGGTCACCTCCCCAACTCTTTATGTGCGTGGAGAAACCACCTGACTGAGGGCGTGGCGTCGTGGTTGCCATGCTGAGGATGATGCGGTGGGAGTGTGGACACTGCTTGGTCTGTGTCAAGAGTAATAGGCCTCCTGCAGCTATCCCATAGCATCCTGTGCTCTTGCAACTCTGTCAGTTCTTCACGCCCGTGCTCAGGAGTCACAGAGAGAGGAAGGACATAAAAGCGGCTATAGTGGGTCAGACCAAAGAGCCATCTAGCCCAGCCCAGTATCCTGTCTTCTGACAGTGGACAGTGCCAGATGCCCCAGAGGGAATGAACAGAACAGCTAATCATCAAGTGATCCAGCCCCTGTTGCTCATTCCCAGCTCCTGGCAAACAGAAGGTCACCACCCCTGCCCATCATGGCTAATAGCCATTGATGGACCTAGCCTCCATGAACTTATCTAGTTCTTTTTTATCTTATAACCCTGTTATAGTCTTGTGTCAGAGGGGTAGCCGTGTTAGTCTGAATCTGTAAAAAGCAACAGAGGGTCCTGTGGCACCTTTGAGACTAACAGAAGTACTGGGAGCATAAGCTTTCGTGGGTAAGAACCTCACTTCTTCAGATGCAAGGCAGCTGAATCGGGCCCCGCGCTAAGAGGGCCCTGCGCCGCAGCTCTCCACCCCGCCCCAGCTCACTTCTCCCTCCTCCCCTTTCTTGAACGCTCCGCCCCCTGCTCCTCCCCCTCCCCTGCTTCCCGCGAATCAGAGGTTCGCGGGAAGTCTGAAAAGAAGCAGAGGCGGGCAGGCAGCACCAGGTAAGCTGGGGTGGCGGGGGGCGCCAGAAGGCCTCCAGGGAGGCGCAGCGCAGCCCAGTCCAGCCCCGGCCAAGCAGCTCACTCTGGCCCCAGTTCTGGC